TCGTCAACTCTGTTTTTGGTATGGATTCTAGTGCCTCCCTTAACACCAATTTTAAGTATCATAAAATCAACTTCGAGGGTAGCCTAGATGGATAGTGCATGGTCCTTATTCATGGGGTCCTGGGTTCGACTTCATTAGCGGGCGGTTGTTTTGATTTTGATAAAGTTTTAGTTTTATGATTCTTTTTATATTTACTTTTTTTTTATTATTTTTTTTTTACTTTTAATTTTTACGTTATTATTATTATTATTAATTGCATTCTATAACAATTAAAGTAAAAATACGTGACGGACGTGTCGGATGACAAAATGCCGGAAGGACTCCCTTGAAATTTTATTAGCAGGACATAATGAAAAATTAAACAATTGTACAATTGTAAAATTAAAGAAAAACATTACAATTAAAGAAAAATAAAAAAAAAAATGATTATAAAAGAAAGAAAAAGTTCAAAGTCCTTACGAGGAATTTGAACACAGAAAAATTACACAAAGAGTAACTACTCTATGCATTACGATACCATCCTGTCTCGATCTGCTGCGATCAAAAATACTATTTGCTCTACCAACTACCGCATCGGCGCATCGAAAACAGAAACGAGAAATTGAAATTGAAATTTGGAAGCCAAAACAGTTTTACTCCGTCGTGCGAGCAGTCACACATACATACATAGGTTCACATTTTTGTTGACGGATACATGTAATGAGTTCTAAAAATAGAATCGTATGCATGTGCGTTCCCCCCTCACCAACAAGCTCGACGCAAAAAGTTGACCGTTTTGGGCCCTGATGTCCCATCTATGTACTTTATAATCTTTGGTTAAAGTGAGGGTGGAAGAGATGGGTACCGGGTATATTAAAGGCTATTTCTTTCTTGTTTTATGAATTGAATTGAAATTTGCATTTAATAATTCGAACAATATTCTTGTCATTGATTTCTCTTTTCATTGATGATGTTAAGTTTTTTTATACCCTTGCAGATGCTATTATAATTTTAACAAAAAATTTAAAGACAAAAAAAGTTGAAAGTTGTTGAAACCAATGTGGCCGGCTTATATACTGCGTGCAAAGGAAAGAAGGGTGTGTCCAAAGTTTAAAGTCGATATTTTTAAAACTGAGAGACTAGTTTGTGTTCAAAACAGACAGAAAGATAGACAGAAGGATAGACAGAACGTCTGTCCGTATGAACGCGTGGATCTGAAAGACTATAGGATAGAGGTATAGGATTTGGCATGGAGACTCCTACAATACCCACGCAGTTCAAGTTTGTTTAAAGCCACGCCCTCTCCCGACCCCACAAATTGCGAATTTCTGTAGGAAGGTCGTTTGAAAAACTTTTGCTGCCAAACTATTTCTATAGGTAATATATATCTGAACAAATTCCATCCAAATCGGCCCATTTTTGGAGGAGATATTCCCATATCGAATGCAGGGCTGCCAGTTGATTATATTTTGAAAGGTTATAGTGTTAAATTTATAAGCCTAAATTTGTTCTGGATGGGCGTTTTTGGTCTGGTCAAAATAATAAGTACACTTCTATTATTCACAAATTTGAAAGGATTAAGTTTAGCATTGGACTATGGTATGTTTATTTTTAATGACTTGTTGCATTTTAAGTGAATTTGGGTTACAAAAAATTCTTTAGATGGGCCGAAAAAAGCATTGCACCCTGGAAGAAAAGAAGATTGCCTTGAATCTTCAACAAGAAGGAAAAAGTCTACGAGAAATTGCGGCAAGCCTTGGACGCTCGGTGTGTTTTGTTCAGAATGCCTTAAAATCGAAAGATCCTACCGAAAAACGAGGAAGAAAGAAGAAATCTTCCCAAACGACGGGCACCCGCATCGTCAGTCTGGCAAAAAAAAGATCCCTTTATGTCTTCCAAGTCCATTGTCGCTGAAATCGGCAATGAAATATCATCTCGAACGGTTCGGCGCAGACTTAAAGGTTCCGGCCTAACAGGACATATAGCCAGAAAAGTTCCTTTACTTCGGAAAAAAAATTTACAGATGAGGCGCCAGTTTGCACAAAATCATTTGGCATGGTCTGGACCAGAAGGATCTAAAAAATGGAACAATGTCTTATAGAGCGACGAAACAAAAATATACCTTTTTGGTAACGACTCTATACGTTATGTACGACGCCCAAAAGGTAAACAATTCGACCCCAGGTACACGAAGAAGACCGTTAAGCACGGAGGCGGATGCATAATGGTTTGGGGATACATCGCATAACCGATATAATCACCCGATTTGGGTATAAAAGCATACTCGCTGACGTTATGCTACCATATTCTGAGGAAAACATGCCTTTGAGATGGGTCTTTCAACAAGACAACGACCCAAAACACACCTCAAAGCTGGTCAAGGCTTGGTTTACCGAAAACGGAGTATATCTTATGAGTTGGCCAAGCCAGTCTCCGGACTTAAATCCGATAGAGAACCTATGGGAGCACTTAAAACGTCGTATCGGAACAAAAACTTTTCGAAATGCCGAAGAATTGTGGACATTTGTCCAAAAAACCTGGTATGACATTCCAGTGGATACTTGTCGCAAGCTTATTGCTGGTATGCCAAAACGAATCGCCAAAGTTTTACAAAATAAGGGTGGATATACTGGATACTAGTTATAGATTAAGGAAATCAAGAAAATGTTGAAAAATTGTTGTTAAGTTTTGAGTTATTGAGTTTGAAGAATTGGTGTACTTATTATTTTGACCAACCCTTTTTTATGTTTTTTAGATATAATCAACCACAAACTTTATAAATGAATTGAAAAATGCCTATGTTAACCATTTTTATAATTTTATATACATATAAAAGCTATAAGTAAATTTGAGTTTTTCTTTATGATCATTAAAAAACTTTTACGAGAAGTTAAAGAAACCGTACACGAGTGTACTTATTATTTTGTCCAGTATTGTATGTATATACAATTTCCCATTTAATCGGGCTAAAACTTTGAACGCGTAGATTTCGAAGTCTATAAGAGATAGAACTATCAGATTTGGAACTTTGGATCGTATGAAACCCACGCAGATCAATTCTTTTTTTTTTAATATTGACACGCCTACCTCCGACCCCCTCCGAAAAAAAAAATCAGGTGTTAGCGCCAATTATTTTATGTTTTTGGAACATGGTTTGATGCCAAACAGTTCCAATGGCTAATCTACGCCTACAAATCAAAAATCAGCCAAATCGGATAATTTATAGTGGTTATAGACTTTTTAGTCTGCTTCCCAAATTAATCGGTAGAATGGCCGTAGATTTGTTGTTGTTGTAAGAGGAGCCCTAAATAAGTAGGTCTTACTCCAATGAGTTCCTTTCGGAAACTGATTTTATTTGGTAAAGTTCTCTTATAAGTACGATACATGAAAATCTTAAATCTATTTAAAACTACTTATCAACGCACTGCACGCTGACATTCTATGCGACCCTTTCTCAAGTGCGATAAGCGCACCACTTATGTATGTGTTTGTGTTAGGCTGCAGGGGATCGGTTTTAGACCATGCTGTTTGTCTCTTATTTCATGGGTCCGATCCCTTGAAACTCAAACTTAAGAATTTGTATATATAATAGTGTTCAATGCTTAAACAGTTGTTGTATTGCCCAAGCGCACAAGTATGCAACAAAAATTTTATACTGAGAATCCATACCGTTAAAGATTAAACTAAATGAGGAAGGGGTGAAACAAATGAGTACCGGGTATAATATAGTCTATACCGGGTATATAATAAAATGAAACTTTGCAATTTTTAGTAGCGCTATCTTAGGCTACCAGGTCTATGCATATGAGACAGGAGTTTCCCGATTCTGGGCATTTTTGCGGGCGTTTTTGGAGCAGAAATTCTTTCAATTCTTCCAGTTGTTGCTGGTAGCGTTTGCCATCAACGGTTACACTCGGATTTAGGAGCTCATACCAAACGATTCCGGCCTGATCCCGGAAAACGCTCAGCATGGCTTTGCGGCCGAAACGGTTTGGCCGATATTGGGATTGGGCCGGCTGGGCTGGGATAATATAGGATTTTTTTCATTTTGGGTTTTGAAAATAGATCCACATTGTATTTCCAGTGACAATGCAATGCAAAAACGAGAATTTCCAAGAGAATTTCGCAAGTCAACATATTTATACCCTTGCAGAGGGTATTATAATTTTGTCCAAAAGTGTGCAACGCAGTGAAGGAGACATCTCCGACCCTATAAAGTATATATTCTTGATCAGGATCACCTCCTGAGTTGATATGAGCATGTCCGTCTGTCCGTCTGTCTGTCCGTTTCTACGCGAACTAGTCTCTCAGTTTTAAAGCTATCGACTTAAAACTTTGCACACACCCTTCTTTCCTTTGTACGCAGTATATAAGTCGGAACGGCCGGGATCGGTCGACCTATAGATATAGCTGCCATATAACTGATCGGAAATGCTATAACTTTGGTGTTTTTAGAGTTGGAGAGTTATTTTGTATAAAATTTATTTGGAATGAAAAAGTATTTGATATTTGATAAAAATACAAACTTTGGTTTTCTTGAAGATTGAAGCCTGGTATTTTTTTTTAGGTTTTTCATTGTAATAAACTGGTTATATTATGATATTCTCATAAGGATCGGGCAACTATATCTGAGCAACTATCTGATGTTTGCGATATTTTTTTTGTTTTGTTTTTATTTTAATTGTTTTTTATTTGTTTTTTTTTTTAATTTGTTTTTTTTTTTCAGGCTTCGCCTGAAGTTAGCTTTCCTTTCTTGTTTGTTAATAAATGTAGGGGACGGGTTATATAAACATTAAATTATATAATTCAACTTGGTCTAGCTTAGCAAATGACCTGTAATGGCCCTTACTCCATTAAAAGTTGCGTATTAAAGTTGGTGTATTTTTGGTATGTCTGTATGTACAACCAAAATTAAAAACCCCTTTTGACAAAAAAGGGATCTGCCTGGGTATTGTAGCAGTCTACGTCAAAGCTTCATCGTCTCTTAATTTATCTTAGATTGTGATCAGCTGTGTACGTACATTTTCTTTGCACAAAACTTATATAATGGATGGTATGGATTATAACATCCTCTTTAAACAGCGACTTGTCCGAGTACACAAACTCGTATGCACTCTAAAATATAAAAATTATATTAGTGATTTTACTTACTTTTTACTTATTACTTACTTCATGAATAATAATAAGGTAATTTTTGTTTTTTGTTTCAAAAAATTCTTTGTTGAGGTGCTATTCTATTGTAAATCTGTAAGAAAAAACAATAAAACGGGTTAATTGCCGATAACGATGATTCACACAAAGCAATCAAAAGAAATAAAACATCAAATTTGGCGCCGTGTTTTACACGTCTATGTCAGAAAGTTAATCTTTTACGGTTTTAAAAATGATGCGATAAAAAAAAAACGAGTAAAAATATTGCTCTGCTCCCGCTATTGCTCTGTTTTCGATCGACTCTGTAGCATAGCAGAGAGCACAAAATCAAAACGGCTGGTCTCTGCTCTGCTCTGTAACACTGAACGGAAGAGCACGGAGCTATAGCAATAGCAAGAAAATGCGCGACACGCTATTTGTAGTTGTACCAATAGCACAAACATCGACAGCGAGATGAGAGCAGAGCCAACGAAAAGAATATTGTGCTCTCGTAGCAACTGCGTCGCTCTCGTAGCATTTTTGAAGTTGCTCTCATTCAAATAGCGGGAGCAAAAAAAAAATACTCTGATGCATTAGCATAGAATTTTCAATCACTGAAAAAAACAATAAAGTAAAGCTAACTTTGGGCGGATCCGAAATTGATCCCTTGCAGTTAAGATCGGATATAAATCACAAATATCGGATATAGTCGTCCGATCTTTATGAGAATTTGATTATGAAACCAATTTAGTAAAATAAATAATTTAAAAAAAAGTCCCAAGCCTCTATCCTTGAAAATACAAAAATTCCAATTTTTACCAAATACCATTTCCCATTGTTCAGTTCAGATATAAACGGCCGTCCCTATGAAATTTGGCAGATCAGATGAACTGACTAAAAATAGAATCTGTATTTCCGATCAATCAGTTACATTCAGTTACATGGCAGCTATAGGATATAGTCGGCTGATCCCGAACTAAAAGAATAGTTCGCGTAGTAACAAACAGACAGGCGGGCATTCTCAGGAGGTAATCCTGATCAAGAATATATATACTTTATAGGTCGGATATGTCTCCTTCACTGCGTTGCATACTTTTGACCAAGCCCTCTACCACCTCTACCTCTACCTCTACCTCTACCCTACCAATACCAAATCTATAAAAAAAAAAAAAAAAAAGAATAAAAAAAACCCAAGCTTCTATCTTCAAAAATACAAAAAATTGGTATTTTTACTAAACACCATTTCGATCGTTCAGTTATATGTCAGCTTAATTTGGTAGGTGGGATCAACTAAGCCAAAATAAAATCTGTACGAAGTTTCAACTATCTGTCTTCAATAACACGAAAGCTGGGCCATTTCCGATCGTTCAGTTATATGGCAGCTATAGGATATAGTCCGCCGATCCGCCTTATGAAATTAGGCAGGTCGTATTATTTTGCCAAACATAGCACTCATGCAAAATCCAAACTCTCTAACTCTAAAAACACCAAAGTTATAGCATTTCCGATCAAGCAGTTATATGGCAGCTATAGGATATAGTCGGCTGACCCTTATGAAATTTGACACGTCGTATTATTTTGTCAAAAATAGCTTTCGTGTAAAATTTGAACTAAAACTCTAAAAACTGACTCTAGTTCTAAAAACACCATAGTTCTACCAGTTCCGATCAATCAGTTATATGGCAGCTATAGGATATAGTCGGCCGATCCCGCCCATTCGACTTATATACCTTCTTTCCATATAAAAGGAAAGAAGGGTGTGTGCAAAGTTTCAAGTCGATAGCTTAAAAACTTCCCTAGTTTGCGTAGAAACAGACAGACGCACATGCTTATATTAACTCAGGAGGTGATCCTGATCAAGAATATATATACTTTATGGGGTCGGAGATGTCTCCTTCACTGCGTTGCATACTTTTAACCAAAATTATAATACCCTCTGCAAGGGTATAAAAATAATGCAGAGCTTCTTAAAAAAAAAATGTTCTGCGAAAAAGAAATTCATCTCTTCAGGTCGACCATTTTGGCAGAAACAAAATCAAGAATGAATTTCTTGCAGTGAAAAGTTTTCGTCACTCCAACAACAAAAAGCACTCGGATTAGTATGATCGAGGAGAATATTGTTATTGTAAGTGTATGCCTATGCTGTAGTGTAGTGTAAGTGTATCCCTTTGCCTATGCTGGGACCAACAAAGCTTATGGCGTGAGCAGTCACAAACATTACGCTACCACCCTGTTTCGATGAGTAACGATCAAAAATACTATTTGCACTACTACCACATCGGCGCATTGATCGGCGCAAAACATTTTGACGCCGTCGTGCGAGTAGGGACACATACATACAAAGGCACACATTTAATTTTTGACACATTCTAAAAATTCTAAGAAGTCCTAAAAATAGAATCGTATGCATGTGCGTTCCCCCCTCACCAACAAGCTCGACGGAAAAAGTTTAACGTTTTGGGCCCTGATGTCCCATCTATGAATTTTATAATCTTCTAACGTTTAAACCTTCTACAAATTATATTTTTAAGGTTTTTTTTACCACATATTTGAACAATCCAAAATGGTATTTGGTAAAAAAAAAAAAAAAAAAAAATTTTGTTTTTTTGAAGATAGACTTAGGACTTTTAAAGCTTGGGCCTCTTTATACCCGGTACTCGTAGACTAGTCAGTACTAGCGCCTGTACTGAAAGGTTTTTTGAAAAACTTTTGATGCCAATCTATTTCTATAGCTAATATACATACATATCTGTTAAACAAATTTCATCCAAATTGCCTGCAGCAGATATTTTGGAGGAGATACACCCAAATTCATATAAACAATTCCCCATACAAACGGACTAAAACTGCGGATTTTCCATAGATAAATCTTTGCAGAGGGCATTATTATTCTGCAAAATGTTTGCGAGGCATACACCTGTTTTCCTTTGCACGTGCACTGCGTGTGCCGGAACGGAACGGACGGAAACGGCCGAGTTATATGATAACTAACTGATCGAAAATGCCATAACTTAAGTGGTTTTGAAGATTTAATCAAAGATTACACAGTACATTGATGGGCATCTCATAGAAAGAGAAGTGGCGGGTCCCAGCGCTGGAATGGGGTTCCAGCGGGTTCTTAACCCGTTCCAGCGGAACGCGACAACGAATGAGGGATAGTCGAGTGGTAGAGTGCTTGGCTGATGTACGGAGTGAATCCATCTCAAATCAGGCTGAGACACCAACTTCTTATTTTTATACTCTTGCAGAGGGTATTATAATTTTGTCCAAAAGTGTGCAACGCAGTGAAGGAGACATCTCCGACCCTATAAAGTATATATATTCTTGATCAGGATCACCTCCTGAGTTGATATGAGCATGTCCGTCTGTCCGTCTGTCTGTCCGTCTGTCTGTCCGTCTGTCTGTCTGTCCGTTTCTACGCGAACTAGTCTCTCAGTTTTGAAGCTATCGTCTTGAAACTTTGCACACACCCTTCTTTCCTTTGCACGCAGTATATAAGTCGGAACGGCCGGGATCGGCCGACTATATCCTATAGCTGCCATATAACTGATTGATCGGAAATGGTATAACTTTTGTGTTTTTAGAGTTAGAGACTTCAAATTTGACATGAGAGCTATTTTTGGCAACAAATTACGACATGCCAAATTTCATAAGGATCCGCCGACTATATCTTATAATCTTATCTGCCTTATAACTGAACGATCGGAAATGACCCAACTTTCGTGTTTTTGAAGATAGAAAGCTGGAATTTGGTACAGATTATATTTTTGGTCAGTTAATCCGACCTACGAAATTTCATTAGGATCGACTATATCCTATAGCTGCCATATAACTGAACGATCGGAAATGGTATTTGGTAGAAATATCAACTTTCATATTTTTGAAGATAGAAGTTTGGGACTTTTTTTTAGATTTTTTATTGTAATTAATTGGTTTTATTATGATAAATCATAATCATAAGGATCGGCCAACTATATCCGATGTTTGCGATATATATCCGGTTTTAACTGCAAGGGTATATAAACTTCGGCTCCGTCCGAAGTTAGCTTTCCTTTCTTGTTTAAAATGTATTTATATTTTAATTGTTTTCCTAAATTTATAATCCAATCAAAAATACAAAAATACAACGTTCACATCGAACCAGTGTGAGAGCAGAGATCATAAATATCTTCTATAATCTTTACTCTTTAGCTCTGTTGATTCTCGCTTTTACTTCAATACCAACTTTAAGTATCACTAAATCAATTTCGAGAGTAGCCTATGTAGATGGAAAGCGTGTCCTCCTTACCATTGGGGTTCAGGGTGCGATTTTATGAGTGAGGTTGTTTGTGTTTTTAAAAATTGAATTTATTTTTAAAAGTGAAGTGAGTATAATCACTTTATTATTATTATTTTTAATTGCATTATATTACAATTGCTGTAAAAATAAGTGACGGACATGTCGGATGACAAAATGAAAGACGGGCTCCCTTGAACCTTTATTTACCGGACATAAATGTTTTTTTTTTGTCTTAGTACTACAATAAAAGATAAATAAACAAGAAAGGAAAGCTAACTTCGGGCGGAGCCGAAGTTGATATACTCTTGTAGTTAAAACCGGATATATATGGCAAACATCGAATATATTTGGCCGATCCTTATGAAAATATCATAATAAAACCCATTAATTACAATAAAAAATCTAAAAAAAAGTCCCAAGCTTCTATTTTCAAAAATACTAAAGTTGGTATTTCTACCAAATACCATTTCCGCTCCTTCAGTTATAAGGCAGCTAAAAGATATAGTCGACCGATCGTTATGAAATTTGGTAGGTTGGATTAACTGACCAAAAATCAGTTAACTGACCAGATTAAAACTGAGATACTAGTTCGCGTAGAAACAGACAGACTGATAGACGGACATGCTTATATCAACTAAGGAGTTGATCCTGATCAAGAATATATTTACTAGGGTGGGTCAATTTTTTGTCGCAAAAATTGGCCCTCATAATCGGAATCTACGAAGAATTCTAAGAAAATTTCACCATGAAACGGCTCGCGACGTGAAGCTTAAAGATTTCACTGAGGTAAATAAGGTATTTCGAGGTATAATGTATTTAAAAAAAAAACATACGAA